TGTTTAAAAAAAAACTAACAGGAAATTAAGAAACTAAGCTTGAATGCCCAGTTGTGACTTAGCATGTAATTCACCTCAACTCACTGTAACTCCTTCCCTCTGTCTATGAGATGAGACTAATATTACATATGTATGATTACTTGCCTCAATAAAGCCCTAAGACCCTCAAAATGAAGGGGCAGCAAGTATATATGACTACAAGCAAAGAATATACTAAACATTTTTTCCCTAACTTAGTCCTCCTCTGCTTCAGGACGCTGTTTTGAATTACACAGTGCCTTCACTTTAAGGCCATCAAGTGAACATTGTACCTGCAGTAAGCACAAACTGTTGAGTATAATAGGATGTTTTCAGCAAAACATTGATTTCTTCTCTGACCATAGTAATACAATATAACCAGCACCTTTGCTCTTCTTTGAATAAAAGGCATGACAAGCACAAATACCTTGAGAAACGCTAGAAACACTGATTCAACTTCACAGTACTCCTAGGGGATAAGTGTAAAGTTGCAGAATTTTTCAAAAACTAAAGTGTAAGATATAACCCCCATCTTAAAATGGAAAAGTGTATTGTTTGTAGTCTTGAATTTCAAAAAGGCTTTCATAAATCTTCAACATACACCTTCCCTCAAAGTCACACAGGTCTATTTGGGAAATTTAACTACACAAAATTTATAGTGGAATCAACTGAAAGTTTTAACTTGTGCATTACCAAATTGCTCAACATCTTCAGAATAAGCTATATGCTATTAGGGCTGATGTCACATCACTTCAGTCAGGAATAACAGACTCACAAATCTCAGGTGTTTTCTATTCAACTGGAAAGAGCACTTAATCTTTGTTTTTTTCCTGTAGTTTGAGGGATCTCAGGTACTACCTCTATTTTCTTTTCCACACTATATTAGAATAAGTTATATCGAATTTAAGTAGGTCAAGACAAATTTAGGGATAGAATTTCAGCATTGTTCAAAAAATATTCTTTAAGAAAAACTAGAAGTTTGCTCAGTTTTGGCCAAGTATCTACCATAAGTCAATATTAAATCTGTTACAGTAACTAACTCCTTATCTTAATTAGTATACATCACTTTGTCCTATACCCTCAGCTCAGGATGTGGTGTGATCCCCAGCTGAAACGCTCCAATACAAACTGTTTTGAGTACTGACAGCCCATGAATTCCTCTGTAATTTTTAATAACCTCGGGAGCCTAACTAAATTTAGGCAGATAAAAGCCTAATGCACGTTAATATAGTGTTTTTATAAACAACATGAGCTGTTACTTACAAAACTAACTTACATAAATGTCTTATTCTTGAATCCCATGTCATCTCGCTATTATATTTACCCCACTACTGCTTGTCCCTCTCAATTAAGTGTATTCCTCTTGTTTCTAAACTTCGACTGCTTTATCTCACACCGTAGTGATATTACTTCTGGCTTAACTTTAAGCTGAAGCACACTGCAGCTAGGACAGAACTGCAATAGTTGTCCCATAATATAATACTTTCATTTTAAGAATGAAACTGTACTACTTTTGTATTGAAACACACAGAAGTCACACAGATGTGCTACAGGAGACAGCAAAGTTGTTTTGGCAAGGGCACACGATACCCCCAGATAGCATCATTTACTTCTCTACTTGTATGCCAAAGTAGTCTCGGCAATGTTGTATTTCAGTATGCTCATGTTCATTCAAATTTTTATTCTTAAAAAAAAAATAGTCCTTCATTCACCTCACCCAGCTAAGCATCTAGAAGTTAAAACTACCAATTATAGTATTTCTCACCCCAAATAAATCATAAACTTGCTAAATATCAGTAGTTGAGTCATTAATCTGGAACTGCCATTTACAGGGAATTTATTATTAGATCAACGACATGAAGAGAGCTTTCATAGTATTACACTGGCCTTGCTCCCGAGACGCTTAAACCACTATAAGAGAGCAAGTACCTTGCTCTACGCTAAGAGTTCTATAACTTTTATCAGTACACATTCAGCACCCTTCAGAATCCACACGAGGAATTAGTGACCCTACAGGGCACAACTGGTTCTGATCCCTTATCCACTGACAAAGCACAGGATAGCAAAGGGTATCAACTGTAAGGCCCCCCGCACTGAGTTTCCTCAATGAGTTTCCTGCACTGAGTTCCCCAATTCCCCTCTAATTCAACTCTTCCTCCTATTTAAAACAGGATAAAGCAGTATTGCACACACAAAAACGTGTCTCATGGCAAGCAACTGTTTGTGCAAACTATAACACTAAGATGAGTTTTCAGGCACATTTTATGATATTTATTATCAAAGTTAAATCATATTGCAGCCAAAGTGTATAAGCAGATTATAGGTTTTCATTCAGGTTAGAGCGTCTAAGTAATTTAGTAAGATGTACAGCTTTCATAGCTAGCTTTTAGTTATCAGAACATAATACATAGGTGCAGACTGCCTCAATGACAGTGTCCCAGAACAGGCTAACATAGTTCAATCAAGTAGTAGCGCACACACTCCTACATGGAGATTTCAGAACCATAGGTTTCCACAATTTCAAGAGCAGCAATCCCGGCTATTGAATGAGATACAGGGAAAATAAATCATTGTCCTTTATTAAAGTTTTGCTAAACTATACCTCACCCCAAACCTACCTCTCAAACAGGAGCAGATTTAAACAGCAACCCTCAAAAACATATTGCACCAACTTAGCTCTTTCCCAGACCACGTCTACCTGCAGTTTTCTGCGTTTACACGTATACAGTTTACTGTATCTGAGACAGATCTGACTTATCAAAACAACTCTGAACAGTACGTGAAATCACTGCAGGGATCTGTAGCAGGGTCACCAGTATCAGCATTTCCTTCTTTCCATTTTAAGACTGACTTGGCAGCAAAACCTAAGAGCATCATCCTCTAAATAACCAATGTTACACCAACAGCTAGTCAATTTTTTCTTGGAGGTTTCCTTTCTAAGCACTAGCCAGACTAACTCTCTCTAGCTTGCAAAATCTGACAAGATGACAGCCTGAAGGGGAAAGGCTTCGGTAATAAATATTTGATGGGCTACATCAATAAAATTCATTTTGCCAAGAAGAATGGAAGAGAGGAAAAGCAGAGAAATAATTCATTAAAAACACCAGCTTAGCAGTGCCAGGAGCCATGCTAAGAAAAACAGAATTAAACAGGTCAAAAATTTAACTACATTTAACACGTGGCAAAGTGAAAAAGAGCTGAGTTTTTTAAAATGAGATGAGATTGCAGAATGAAAATGCATAATTAAGAAGTCTAGCAATTCCACTGCAATGAAGTATCCTGGATATATTAGTAACGGTTTAAACTTCTTGCAATACTTGGTGTCATCCAACTAAAAACCTGTTTAGAACCTTAGAGCATGATTACTCAATATCTGGCACCAAATGCATCAAGTACCCTGTCTTTTTCCTCAAGGCAAAAGGTACCTTCAATTTTTTTTTTGGATAAGGCAGTAAATTTTGTTTTGCAGAAGATGATAATGCAACAGCAAGAACTAAGGTATTTAGTACAAAGCTTACATATACGTGTGGATTAATTCCAATGTATTGCAGTGCTCTACATAACCCAGGTATAGAGCTTGACATACGCAACTTACATCATAGCATTTGTTAATAAGTGTTAAGATTGATCTCCCCTCCCTTCCTGACACTGTTAGAGAACAGTTGCACTCACTCTACAGAACCCAGCATTTCAGTATGCCCACAGTAAGTTCTAAAACACTTTTCACATTTACTTTCCTGCTCCTCCATCCAACCAATTTGGACTTCCTGCCTTAGTAAGCAGAAGCCAGTTGGATGGAGAAGAGCATCAGAAACTGTTGGATTGATGGGAATTAAATGAGTCTTGGAATCCATGACAAAGTTCTAATTCTAGATCTGCTAATGACGACTTGCCATATGGCTTTGGATCACTAGGTTAGGGATTATTTCTTCATGGGTACAGTGACATGACACATTGGAGGAAGAGCAGCAAAGAGTCAGGATAACAGGATTATCCAATATAGAGATGCTTTACAGTCACTTAAGTGGGATTTGGTAAAAAATGAACATCTCTCTTTAAAAACCTACTGTTTTAGAAGTCATTAGATTTCCCTGAAAAAAAGATTTAATAGTTTTGTGGAGTAACTCGCATCATACTTAAACTTCCCTAAAGGTCAAATACACAGATAACTGAAGGAAAAAAAAAAAAAGAAAACACTGCACCACATACAGAGTAAACTGATACCCCATAACCAAAAGCCCTCATAAGCAGTGTGTCACAGGACAAAATGTTAAGTAACAGAAGGCAGTCAAGTCTCCAAATAAGTGATTAAGTGCTGCCCTCTAGTGAGGATAAACCAGTTTCAACATCTAGATTTATAAAATTCAAAGTCTCTCAACCAGATTTTAAGCCAGATTTGTTCTGTAACAGAAAAATCCTACAGCAAGCATCTTAATGTGCTTAATACGCTTATGACTTGGTTCTCTTCTGTATTATGATCTTCAGTTTTAGGTTTAGCATCACAGCAAGGTTAAACGCTCTAGTCAATTTTATACCTCTATAGTATGTTCATATTTTGAATCTGGGTGGTGAAATCAGGTTCTCATCTTGTAATGTATTACTGGCAAAGCTTTGTTAAAAATCCATTCTATCAGAAAATAGAGCACTCCATTTTTGAAAACTCTATGATAAGTAGTTAGCAAGAGGCTTGTATCTAAAACATTTTGACAACGATCTAGAATTAGCTTTTTCTCATGCTCAGAGAGCGGACCTGCCTTTGTAATGCCACTTTCACTGAGGGCTTAATGCTGACTTCACTACTGGTTAGTGGAGCACCTTGCTCTTGACCTTACTGCTGAGAAAGCTCCCTCCTGTGCAGTGGACAGATGTATTAGTTACAGTTCATTCTCAAAAATTAAGATATTTTACTAATGCTGTAGCAGACTTCTAGTCAACTTGCTCATGTATTGTTCTCTGAAAGGAAAGAGGCGCCAACTCAGGAAAAGAGTGATCAGATGTGCTGTATTTAGCATGAAGTAAAAAACAAGCAACAATAGCTGTAAAGTAGTCCTTGCTACATGACTACTGACCACATCAGGATTTCATAGTAAAGCATGAAATAAAAGGATGCTTTGTTTTCTCAGAAAGAGGAGAATGGGGCTTTCCTTAAGAATTAAATGCACATTATATGCAGTTGTTTTTGTAAAGCACGAGGCGGTAAGCACAACTGAGGGTGTTTCACATGTATTTACTCCCTCTTTAGTTTAGGCTCCTATCTTTAAACCACAGCTGACCCACAAAGTCAGACTGAACTATAAACCTGCATCAATAGCATTTCAGGTTACTGCTTTGCTCCCACAGGAAAAAAAGGATTCATAACACCCCCCCCCCCCCATCAGCAAAATGATCAGTTTCTTACCCAGCCTCAAATGAACTTGGCTGCTGGCAAAGCTTACTGGGGAGAACACTCGTGGAACCACAAGCCAAAGCTCAAAACACTTTGTTCAATGTATTGAGCTTTTAAATCTTACACAGAGTTACAAAGTCAGTGTTTTCAGTGTCAGCATTGGAATACTTCATATTCTCAGAATAACTAAAAACACTTAAGCATTTCTTGAGGACACACACAGCCATTGAAATCCTAGTCATATGCTTACACAAAACACTGAAAAAGTTGAAGCAGTTTGACTGGAAACTTTTATCAGGTACATTTATTAAGTAACAATATTCACAAAAGGGATGTTTATTAATATTTAACTTCCACGTAAGAGTTTGTAAAAAGCCTTGTTGAATTTTGTCAGCATACATGCAGCTGCAGGTTACAACACCTGGGAAAAGATTGGTACAAGAGGATTTTGTTAGTACCCTTGGAACTTTTAGCTGTCACAAAATTATATGGAAGATTCACATGCAGAAGATGTAACTGCTCCCAGTCCAAATCAGTCTAGCTTCCAATCATTAAAACCTTTTGGGTCAAACAGCACTACTGCATTACTGGCAAAGCTACAGGTTGTTCCAGTTTTAGACATTAGCTAATTAACGTCTTCATGGAAAAGAGTTGAATAAAACAGTTAAAACTGTACAACAGAATCCCTGTCTGCACCTAAGCTATGCTTCAAACTTAAGCCATCTAAGCCTGCAACGATGCAGACTTGTTCAGGCACACCTACATCTGTTCATACCAAGATCAAGGTATCTGCCAGCCTACAGTTGGTCTACTGTCACTGCCCGAGTTTTTGGTTTAAGTATATCCAGATTTTTAGAACTGTTGTCAGAACTGGACAGAAGTATAGCTGAACTACCATCTTCCTGGACGAGCATGATGGTAGCGTACAGAGCAGTAGACCACTACTAGAGAAGCGGAGATTAACAACACAATCCTGAACCCTTTCCATAGCTGTATGGAAACTCTTACAAAGGGATTGCTTAGCTTATTTGCCCCATTAATTGGGGGTCTATGTGTATGAGCAATCCAGATAGGACAGTATCAGATCATATAGTAATAAGAACCTCTCATCGCCACCAAAAAAAAGAAGTTGTGGAGGCACCAAAATTAAAACAAGGCTCCTTAGGACAAGGCTGTCAGTTATAGCATTACTTATACCTGAGTTACTTGTAAATTCCCTCCCATATCTTCTTTTAAAAATCTGAATAGTGTTTCAGCCTAAAAAAAAAAAAAAAAGAGTTGAGACAGACTTCACTTTTCAACAGCCTGCCGACTAAAGACCACATGAAGCAGCAACAAGTATTCAGTAGCGTCACCCTGTGTGTCCTTAACCAATCTGAAATACGCGTATAGTAAAAGATAGTAACCATCCATATGCTGGATTTACCTCAAGGGTTATTGGAGTACGCAGTTCAGATTCAAATAAGGGAGAATTATGATTTATTCACATTTTTACAGTCTTAAATCTTTTTGTAAGTTCTCCCCACAAGACTTCATAAATCAGATTTAATTCACATATTAAAAATATGAAGCTTCTAAAGCAAAGTTGAAGAACTTTAAAGAAAATATATCCTGTTCCGAGTTATTCCCATTCCACTTCTCCCTTCTCACAGAAGGGAGAAGGGAAAAGTCTATGCTAAATCAGAAGTCATTCATTGAGCTTGCTCGTGTCCCACATGAAAACTGGATACTAACTGTAACGTGGCAAGAAGAGTAATACATTTATTCCTATGTGTTCTCTGAATAAACCAAAAAATCTCAGACATGCACACTATCCAGCATGTGCAGGAAACCTCCAAATCCCAATGAACCTGAGCGCTAAAGATACTATTGTCATGCTTTTACACCTGGAATAATCCCATGCCAGATAGGGATATTAGTATAGATGCTTTTTTTTTCCCCCCCAAGGGGGAAAGGGGAACCTGGTATCTGGCTTTTTCAAAGGACAATGACACTTTTGACAGAGATGCCTGCAGTAACATAGTTTAAAAGCAGACAAAGGCTCATTCTCCAGAATGGGAAGCCGGTTCCCCCAAACAATTTAAGTTATCAGGTGAAAAATCAGCTCAAGAAATCAAACATCATCCATTTATCAGTCATCCTCCTACTTTGCAGAAAAAAGAACATATCTTCTGGAATTAATGAACTTAAATTAATACATACCTATACAATAAGGCTTTGCCTTTATTATTTGCTATAGAAAAAAAACCACTTCTGGGAGAAAAGTCCATAGATTGAGTAAGATAAATTTGTTTTCTTCTGAACACTGGGAAGTTTGAGAATACAGTATACGAAGGAATGTGTACCTATTAAGAAAATTATAATTAGTTATAACTATGGAAAAGCTACAAAAATTCCAAGTTCAAAATTAAGTTCAACTATCGAGTTCTATTGCTCTTCTACACCATTCTAGACAGAGCTCTACTGCAGAAACAAGGAGGAAGAAAGCGCAGGGAACACTGTGGTGGCCAGTCATTTTAAGTCATTTGAATAACTATATTGAGCAGTTTATAGGAGCTTCCAACTCAGTTTTACTCAGCACTTCCACTGCTGGCCAGAATTCTGACAAGGCTGACAATTAAATCCTGAGACAGGAGAAACACCACATACAACAAGAGGTGCTGAAAATTCATATTTGTTGCTAAGTCATTAGATTTGCCACACTGAAAAAGGTCATTTTAAAAAGGGAAAAATAAAGAGTTGAATTAGATAAGACGCTATCTTCCTAACAACTCCAAGAAAAAGCTGTACTTTCTTATACGTATACAGCATTTGCACATGTCTTGATCTGCTTGGCCTGGCTAATTTTTGCAGTATGTACACCTGCTTAATATCAGTTTTATTATGTCACTGGGAACATTTTTCATCAAATACGAAAAAGCTTGCACTGAATAAACGAAGAAGCTGAACATACCAGTTTGACAGCCTCATCAGCCTCATTGGAAGCCACTGCCAAAATTTCTGTTGTAGGATTGAAGGTCACACATGTAGCAGGAGTAACTAGGTTCATTACGGCTTTAACTGGTTTAGGATTGTTTTCTTTGAGACAGACATCCGCAGTATACAAGTTTACAACTCCAGAAACTGAGCTAGAGAGGATAAATTAACACAGACCATATCAAGATGCAGCATTTACAGTTCACATTACCTTGTTATCTACAGCCATTATTCAACTAAAAACATTACTTCCAATAAAACATTTAATGGAGTTCGTAAAATACAAACAGAAAATCCTTGTTAGGACGAATGTTTTCTTGTCTAAAAACATATACTTTTACCAGTGGAGATCCTTGACATACTAATTTCTTACAAGTGCATATTTGGAACCATATATAGGTTAAAAGGCCCGTTATAAGACCCTCTTTTCTAGCAAGCAAAAGACCACATACAATGAATTCAGAGCAATAAGACCTCAGTACCAAAGACTCTGAAAGAGCCATGGTTCTTTTATTTGTTATTTTTAAGTGGAATTGGGTTGCAGAGCTTAAATATCCCTTTCTTCAACAGGCTAAGAAAACAGACTAAATTTTGAAATAGTTAATCTCATTTGAAAGAATTGCTACACCAGTTTAAGTTGCATCTTGACAAGTATACTTGGAAAAGCACTTTCAAGCAGTACGCTTTCACCTGAGTCAACGCACCTTTCTGAATACTAATATGCTATTCAGATCCAAATCAAGAGTATAAGAGACAACTAGAAAAGGGGAAAGGAACAGGACCCGAACTTGACATTCATAACATAAGGTGCATGGTTTCATTCTCCATTTCAGAATTAACTGCTAAACCCATTACGTGGCAATAGCAATACATCAAGAGCGATAGCGGTATTCAGTCTGCTGTGGCATTTTGGATGAATACGGAATAAAATAAACAGCTACCATAAAACAGACAACCTTCGCCTATTCACCTCTAGTCTCATTAAAACTCGAGTTACTCCACATTCCTATACTCTTACCAGCCATGACTGAGTTTACAGAACAGCTCCAGAATGAGATATCAAGAGGTTAATAAACCCAATTTAATAACTTACCCACATGCCACATACTGGTTATTTCTTGAAACAGCGATACACTTTCCTTCCAAAGAGCCTTCATCCTCAAATCTGTGTAGACACTTCCTGCTTTTCACATCCCAAACGAAACTATCACCTTCCTCTGGTTGTGGAATGGGAATGAAGCAGAAGTTTTTATACAAGCCATGTACACAGACCACAATGATTTGCGTATTTTGTCGAAGTAAATTTCAGAAAAAATAACTGTTAACTTGTTTTCAAACGAGAAATGCGGAGTGTTTAAGAAAACATACACATACATCTTCATTCCTCACCACTTGCTTATACTTTTAGGCGAGATACTGGCAGAGTCTCTTAATTCACTTTGTAAAACAAAGACTGATTTGAAAGACTTCTATGACTGAAACATAGTTGGGATTCGCACTGTTAATGAGAACACTTACTTGAATACGTATATATTTTGCTGCTGTCTGGAGTGAAAGCAGATGCAGCGGATCTTCCATTTACTTTCATAGTGCTGATCAGTTCCTTTGTCTATAGGATGAAGAGTAACAGCAGTGAAAGAGATTCTTCCAACTTTGACATTTTCTTGCTTGAAGCATT